CGGTATCTGACCTGAACTATAATAATTAGGGGATAATGACACAAACAGTCTATGAACTTTGGTCCAATGTGCAATGTGGTCCATGAACTTTTAATTTGTTCAATCTGATCCTTGAACTTTAGCCTAATGTTCAATGTGGTCCTTGGACTTTTGATGTATGTTCAATGTAATCTCTGAATTATATGAAAATGTTCAATGTACTATATTGAATGTACATTGAATATTTTCATATAGTTCATGGACTACATTGAAAATGCACCAAAAGACCAATGACCATATTGAACATTAGCCTAAAGTTCATTGACCATATTGAATAAATTAAAAGTTCATGAATCATATTGCACATTGGATCAAAGTTCATGGACTGTTTGTGTCATTTTCTACAATAATTAGCTCTGCTCACCGTATTATCGGTGAAATGACTTCGTCCAAATATCCTCTCTCTCTCTCTCTCTCTTTCTCTCTCTCTCTCTCTGAATGAGTGCATTCTAATAGCTCATCAAATGGGCTCTTAATTGGACCCAATTCGGGGCCTATTGTTATGTACAATTTTGAGCTTATTTTTTTTCAATTTAAATTAAATCAGGCAGTCGGTTCTAAAGGGCAGCGTTCTATAGCGCAATCTAAAGTTTTTACAGGAGTGCATTTTAACTATTGAATATCCGTTCAGCAAGTCTTGTCGATTGTGTCGTTTTCAAGTAAATCCCGACTGCATTTAAAAATCCCACGTGATAATTTATGAGCGATTAGACGTAATTGAGATAGTGTATTGAGAGGCCGACTATCCCGTGAGCCTTGGCCTTTCCTGGCTATTTTCGAAGATCATTGGAAAAACAAGTCGTGTGCTTGGCAAGATTTTCGGGGGCAAACAAAAACCGGGTTTGATACAATTCAATTTCCTAATAGAGGATTGGGGAATCCGAGTTCCACAAACAATTGCTCTTCTAAGATCCTTCCGGTCGTAAAATTTAGTTCACGCGCTTTTATAGATAATGCTAGGTATATTAGGACAGGTATGTTGAATTGATTTTGTGATGTCCCTGGATTAACACATTCAAGGTGTTGTCCGTTTTAGCCTATCCCATACCAAGTCTCATGGTTTTGTTCTTTGGCATACATGTAGACACTTTTTTAGGAGGTCACTCGTCTTGGTGGTGCTTTAGCTTTAACACGCTTAACTTTATAATTCCAAAGAAAAGTTTACCGATACATCAAAATGCGACTTCGTAAGTTAATTCTAGTGTGTGTGTATATATATATATCCTAAGCACGCTCTCCCCTTGTTTAGTGTGCAATTCAGTTCATTTTTTTTTCCTAAAAGGATGACAGAAACCCTTTAGCCTTGGTGTCCACTCCTTGCCTTTGTTGGACCGAGTCGTTACAGACTTACCAGCTTCTGCGTGGTTCGTCCTCAAACCACACATGTACTGGAGGGGATTCTACTTTAATACCATATCATAACATTTCTAATTAACTCACTCGATTTATTGTCTACTTTGGCCCATTTCATATTGAGTTTCACGAGCACTTTCCCAAAAGGTTGCCCATTTTAGTGATGCTCTAACCTAAGCAGGCTTAACTTTAGAATTCCAAAACAAAGTGTGAGATTTTGTGAGACCACTGCTAACTGTTCTAAAAACTTAAGCATAGATGAAGGCATGGAATATTCTAACACTCCCCCAGGCAAGGCAATTGGGACATGGAAAGATTTGAATCCAGGACCTTCAGCCTTGATACCATGTTAGATTTTGTGGGACTACTGCCGGCTGTTCTAAAATTTTAAGCTGTTAGATGAAGGCATAGTGTATTATCTAAATATTCTAACACAAAGTTTGCCGTTACGTCAAAATGCATTTCTGTGAATTAATTTTATCCTTCTTTATCTTAAGAGCTTGTCAAGAGCCGCTTCTTGTCTGAGCCTTTAGTTTAATCACTCCCCGCCCTCGTCGGATCGGGTCATTATAGATTTATTGCGGTGGAACGGCCCAATAAAGAAAAATGAAAAGGAAATGTATGAAGGCTTATAGTTGGTCTCTCATCTCTATCGATCGTCCATTTACTCGGAAAACACATGACGCACGTGGAAGTGATGGCTACGGGCTAGAACGGCCATCGTAGGATCCTCGTGGATCTTCAGGCGTGTCCCACGTGCGATGTTTCACCAGATGGGTCCCCTTTTGAGCAAGCACCCACTGGACCGGCTCTATCCAACAATGTTCTAGGCCCTATCGATTTTAATTAGCCCCGTTTGTCTCGTGAAAGAGGAACGATACAAAAATTAATTTTCTAAAAATAATTGCTCGTATCACTTAAAATAATTAGATTTTTATTTTTATTACCAATAATAATTTATGTCTAAATATTTTCATAGACAATAAAAATATTATTTATTTATTCATTTTTATAAGCGATACAAGCAATCACTTTTAGAAAAATATTTTTCTAATTATTCCCATCATTTATAGAGACTTCCCGATTTCTCTTCCCTGGTGCAACCTTCCCAACCTCCCTGGAATGGTTGTGTGTATATATATAAGGTTCTTTGGAAAGACAACTTAAATTGATAGATTATTGATTTATATATATATATAGTTCAATCGTTTCATCAATCTTGGGAATTGTGAAGTATTGTCGGATGACCCACTGACCGATGCATCCCTTATCCCAAAAATCCGTAATTTGATATTGTAATAACTTTCTCTAATTTGGTGGAGTTGTGAAGTCTTTTTAAACACACTTTCATCACGTATCCATATATACCTAACATTGTACCCTTGGCGTGTCTATGTATTAAAACATTGAAAGCACCTCATGATCCACGAACTTAGTCCACTTTCGACATCTCACCCGAATCTTGCTGGTGCTAATAGACCAAACCAACTTTATCTCTACATGTCTAGCACGCCTTGCACCAAGAGAAGTTTGAACGAAGCTTCTCTACGTTCTTAATTCGATTGCATTATATCCAGATTGTCGACATTATATCTTCACCATACATAAAATTTAATAACTACTATCATGTTGCAATGTGTCCGAACAAATGGTTATCGAGTTGATAATATAGGGAGAACTCATGCCTCTCGAAATCTATGAGTTTAGGATTGGATCCGTTGACATTAACCATGTGTTTCATCTAACAGTTTAAGACTTTAAAATATAAATGATTGCGCGTTTGATATTATGTTAATAAGAACATTTGAAGTGCTAAATCGCGATTTCCAAACGCTTTAGTCGTGATCAATTCTCATGCTACACGTGGGAAAGATCCAGGACATCTGAATATTATAACTTTAATTGCCCGGTGCGCGAAAGTATTAACCGTCCAATACACTATAATAATAAAAAAAGAGAAATTATTGAAGCATCAAAGGGCATGATCCCAGATATATGCCACCGCAGAAGTGGGAAGATATCGCTGGAAATTGCGGATGTGTTCAAGAACTCAGCCGCTAGAAGCGCCACATCACGCACGGCCCAATCACCAGATCAGCTCCTCACCTTTGACCAGTCCCAGATGCACCTGCCCACGAATAGATAAGCTTTGCTACTCCCCCACCCCGACCTCGTTGCAACTTAATTAATGAAATTGCAACATCATCAACCAATCCACGCACTTAAAGTCTATGGTTTTGGTCAAAAAATATAAATTCTATGGTCGGTATGTTATTTATCAACAGATGAAGTTGCAATAATTACAGGCAAGAAGCCTCTACCACTACGGTTTAGATAATAAGCTCCTTGACTTTCCCTAGAAAATTACCAAAAAAGTCCTAAATCCATTGGAATTGTGCAAATTCAATCATAAATGTTTTTTTGTGTTAATTCAATTCATCCGGCTAATTTTAACTGGCTAGTACTGATGTGAATGTTAGCAGGCACCGGCCAGTGAGGGCGAGTCTCACTAGCTACTGGCGAGGCTCGCCCTCGCCTAGTGACTTGGTTAGCGAGTGCGAGCCTCGCCCAAGCATGGAGAGGCTCGACCTTGCAAGCGACTGCAATGACAAGCCTCACTAGGGGCGGGCGATGCTCACTCTCACCAGCGCCTAGCCAGGCTGACCTCACCGTCGACTGGCTAGAGATTGAAAATGAAGGGATAAAAAAAATGAAAGGGAAAAAGAAAAGGAAAAAAAAGGGAAAAAGAAAAGAAAAGAAATAAATATAAAATTCGAAAAAAATATTAAAATATTATAAAAAAATCGTCGACGTCAGTGCTGGTTATGCCAAGTAGGACGACCGGCGTCCATGTCAGCGTCGGCCAGCCAAAATTGATCGAATGGACTAAATTGACACAAATGCAAAAGGTTTAGGACTAAATTAATACAATTGCAATATGTTTAGGACCGTTTTGGTAATTTTCCCTAACTTTCCCCCTATAAGTATTAATGCTTGCTTATCATATTAATTAACGCTAATTGCCATCCTAAACCGAAGCACTTATGAGTCATAGTTAGATGGAGTCTGCATTTTGACTGGTATGAATAGGTAACAGGTAATGGACAGGAAAACCATGCTGTATCGCAGGAGCATTTAAGTACTTCTTCATTTTGAAGTGGATGACCGTTTGACATGGTTCCAAGCTTATCCACCGCTTAATGACAGAAGCTGAGAATGGAATGAACAGATTTTGCTCAGGATCTTCTTTAGTGAGCTCACTAATCAAATATTAATTCGAAGAAAATGTCAAAGAAACATTTTCTTTCGTCATATTTTTTAATTTCTGGCGATAAGGTCCTAGTATTTTTATTAATAGGAAAAAAAGAGAGAAATGAAACCATCGAACCCGTAGCCCCATGAGTGGGAGATCCGACGCGGCGCAAGGACGTTGAGATCGCGTGCTTTTTGATGGGTCAACTCGCTCAGTTCTTACGTACAAAATCCTCACAAGATAATAATAATGCACTAATTTTCCTTAATAATAACTCACATCTACTTAATTAAATAACAAATTTCTATCCATTAACCCCTCCTCTTCCTCCTATAAATGCACGCACAAACCTGAACACACCTTTCATTGTAAAACCAAAACTCTCATAGGATCAAACCACTCACATACAATCAAAGTCATCCATGGCTTCTTCTGATCTCTCCGGGATCCTCCCTCGCGTCCTCATCGTCTCACGGCGCACCGTTCGCAAGAACAAGTTTGTCGATTTCGTCGGTACGTTCGTGCCCGCTATATGATCTGTATCGTCAGTAGACGTGACACAGTCATGTCTGTTGCTTTCTTTTTTACCAGATTAGGGTTTATACTGATGTCGTGAGAATCGTTAGGAAAATCATGAGAAGTCGATGAGATGTGAATTGTTTATGAAATGGGTGTGAATTTTTCTTGCAGGTGAATACCACCTTGATCTCATAGTGGCCTACGGGGCCGTCCCCGTGATAGTCCCCCGCGTGAGCGGGGTCCACATGCTGCTCGAGAGCTTCGAGCCGATCCATGGCGTCCTCCTCTGCGAGGGCGAGGACATCGACCCGTCGCTCTACGAGCCCGAGGACGCCGACACCAGGCTCTCCCCAGAGGAGCTCGAGGAGATACGGAGGCTCCACACGAGTGACACCGCCATCGACCGCGAGAAGGACTCGATCGAGCTCGGCCTTGCGAAGCTTTGCCTCGAGCGCAACATCCCTTACTTGGGGATCTGCAGAGGCTCGCAGGTCCGAGATATTAAGTATTTTATTCAACGGTTCCAAATCCATAAAATTTCAAACTCAAAATTAGATGTGTTTTTTTTTTTAAACCAACACATTCTGTTGTTGATACAGGTCTTGAATGTTGCATGTGGAGGCACACTTTATCAAGACATTGAGAGTGAGCTCAGCAGGAATTTTGCCCAAGAGAAGAGAGTGGCTCACATAAATTATGATGATTATGATGGGCACAGGCATGTGGTCAGGGTTGTGGAGAGGACTCCATTGCACGAGTGGTTTAAGGACTCACTGGAGGACCAGAGGATGGAGATAATGGTGAACAGTTATCATCACCAAGGGGTCAAGAGACTGGCTCAGAGGTTTGTGCCCATGGCCTTTGCACCTGATGGCTTGATCGAAGGGTTCTATGACCCGGATGCTTATAATCCTGAAGAGGGCAAGTTCATCATGGGCCTCCAGTTTCACCCTGAGCGGATGCGGAAGCCCGACTCCGACGAGTTCGATTACCCAGGTTGCCCGTCCGCTTATCAGGTGCTTAAAGATTGCTTTTTCATCGACATTTGTTAACAAATGATGACATTAATTATAATGGCAGGTTCACAAAATCGGTTAAGAAAGTGATGTGACGGGCTTTTGTCGGCCAATCTGATTCCTTTTTAGTTTCGGTGGACACAATACTGAACTTCTGTATTGTTGCAGGAGTTTGTGAAGGCTGTGATTGCGTACCAGAAAAAGCTGATTAGCTCGACTTTGGTCCCGAGGCCATTGAAACTCGATCAAGAAATGGAGAAGAAGAGGAGGATAATCGTTCGCAGCTTTTCACTGGCCAAGAATCTGTACACGACTGGCCAAGGGCTGAACCCATCCAAAGAATCTGAACTGAAAGCGGGTGCAGAATTTCTCGAGGTACAAATAATTGTTGTTTCTTGTTCCTCTTTGAGCTCTCCTTTGTTCACCTGAATCCATCATTTTAGGCGTAACTATTGAGCTATCAAATTGCTGTACTTTGTCTTTTGGGGGGCTGTTAAATTAGGATGGTGTGGTTGCAGCACAAATCCTAACACTTACGTGGAGAGCTACTATTAAATTAACTAGTAGACAAGACTAATTCGACTTGACATCTAGATGCAAGTGGGGTGTTTATTGAATTTCGCTAAAGCAGGACGAGTAGCAACTTAAGCGGGTATTGTCTGTCATTTGGTTTCTGCAGTCGAACACAGCATTGAGTTTGCATCAAGAGAAGAGGTTGAAGCAGATGGGTGCGACAGTGAGGAACGCCGGGTCGTACATCGAGAGACTCAAGTTGAACGAAGAAAGAGAGAAGATGGCAAGGAATGCGATCGGGAAGATGTCTGTCGAGCAATTATCTGATCTGATATCCTTCTACAAAATGATGGAGCAGATATGCTCAGAAGTACTGGAGAGGAAGCTTCAGGGCATAGTGAATGACTTAAACGCATAGGGTCATTTTAGGTTCTCTATTCTGGTAATGCTCGAGATACTAATACATTTAAAAAAGACGGTATACGAAAGCTTATGTGGCAACGAGTCGGTTTGTTGTGGTCACGGGTCATGTTATCTCGAAATGTAGAGAAGAAGACGGTGAATACGGGACAAACAGCCACATACGTTTTCGTATATCAATTTCTGTAGAATACATGTATCTCTAAGACTACTATTTGTCTGCTGATGTCGATAGCTGTTATGAGGGTGGACTATGGACATAAAGAGGGCTCACGGGAAACTTGGCTGTGGCTCTTTTCATTGTCACATCTCTGTGTGTATTATTGCCTTTGTGCTTATTCCTTTCGTAACAGCAATTGTCAATTGACACTTTCCATTTGTTTTACCCTTCTGCTACATTCAAAAGAAAAATAGTGATTTTTTGTGATAATTTAGGAACTCGTACTCGACGATGGAAATGCGAAACCTGGCATATTGTTCGAATTTCATTCACTAAACTTTGTTAACATGAGTGAAGAGAAGACCGATTATTTAAATGTCTTTCTGGATATTCCCAGCTAGTTCATAATAATCGAATGCAAGCCAAAAGCTTCCGGACTCAAACCAGCACCTCCGGGTAAAGCACACAAGCAAAGTAAGCTTTCTAAAATTGACTGTTTATGCCGCCGCTTGAAGAGGTTGAGGATACTTCTATGAGAGCTGGAGATGAATACTATATGGTAGTGGCAAGAAATTCTTTAATGCTAAATTAGGGTATTCAAGAAAAACATTTTGATAAAAGAAAACTAATTAAATTAAAATTCTTTCTTTGGCATAATTATCTATTAGAGTGATAGTGATATAGATACTAAATTCATATGGGAAATTACTGTTTTAATTGATGTGGCTAACTTAAATAGTTGCTTCTGTCATATTTAATATTATATAGTGTTGTGGTGCCCCATGAAGGGTCTTATGGGGAGTTGAAATGTGAACCATTTGATGGTTGCCACCTCACTTCCCTTTGCCTTTTTTTTTTCTTTTTCCTTTTCATTTCTAAGAAATAGCTTATAATCAAAATAATAAATACTTTTGTCTATAATGTGGATACCACTCCACATCACATTATTCTAACTTTGTTATTTCTTTTTCTTCTTTAAACTTATAAAACAACACATGAATATATTATCCATTTTCCTTTTGTCATTTCATATTGAAATATTAAATCCAATAATAAAACTTCATTGATCCAATAAATTGATTTACATCTACACGCGCAAACGCGCACACACAATATTAACCAATAATCTCTTGTCTATAATTTGAGATATACAACCATATTTTTCTGCATTAGTATTATCTTAGTCAAACATAATTTTATAAGATAAGACCCAAAAGATTGTAAGAGAGTCTTGAAAACATCCATAGAAAATATATATTTAGTGAGTCCAGCTATAGCTTCATGAAATGATAGGTTTGGACTTCATATTCTATGGAATCTCCTAATTTATCTAACGCCAAAATGATATCTTTTACTTCATTTACATCATGTCGTATTAAATTTGTCTTACCTTATATGATATTAAATTTGTTCACGTTCTTTACTTAATTTATCTATCTCCAAATTGATTTTTGTTTGGTTCAACGTAATCATGTGCTATTAAAACATATCATGTAATACAATCTAACTATTTGTTTTTCTCCCGTGCGTGGCATGAGCCATGTCACACCTCCAACTCAACAAGAACAGGGTAATGACATGGCTGTCCTTTCACCAAAAGCACGCAGCTCAAACGTAATCATAACTCAATTTGATATCAAAATATATATATACATTTCACTCAAACAACTAACTCAGAAGTTCATTATAATCATATACAACTCATACCCAAAATTTCCACCATCAAAACGTCTTCCTGATAATGATAACGCTCTCGTCCTATTTGCGGTTCGCTGAAGAACCTGAAAAGCAAGTAAGATTGATAGAATGAGCAACCACAGTCTAGTAAATAATATATCTCTTCCAAGAAGATCGAGTATCCACTATGCACGTTTAAGATCCAAAAACATAACTCATTTACACCCAATCCAAAATATAACAAACTTATAAGATCAAAATGAGTTATATATTTCTTCAACATAACTATACTCATAGCAGAAATACCCATTTCATCACTTATATGAAAACAAATAATCAATAGTCTAGTCCATTGATCAATTTCATCAATTCATACATTAATGATCTATTCCATTGACCAATCTTGTGTTCAAGTATCTAACTATGATCACACATAATGCCTCGTGACAAACGTGACCAAGATTCCTCCTTAGCTAGACCTCCACCTATATTGTCAATGGCTAGCCCACAAAGATAACCTAAAACTAGTATGGACACCCACAAACCCCTCAATGAGTTCACAGAGATACTAAGTATCAACATAAACCTACAATAGCATCTTCCAAAATCCACAAAGCCAATCCATAATATATATCACAAATCGATTTCATAAACCAAAATATATAATCTTTTGTCAAACAGAATACATTTCACAAAGCATTTCTCTAACCATTATAAACACAATTCACAAATCGCTATGTATAACCTTTCGTAATGCCATTCACAAAACGATTTTCAAATCATTTCAGAGTTCATTTCATAAACCCATTCGCAAAGCAATACATGTATGTAAACTTTCACAACACCTTTCATAACATGTTTCTCAAACCATTTTCATATAACCGAAAGGTAGTAAATGCCCAATCGTGACTTTTGTGCAACAAAATGGCTATTTCATAGCTCATACTATTTATAATCCATATTACCTTCGAAATATGAGTTTACAAATTCGAAAAAGAGATATCACCACTCATACGAGAAATTTGAAAACCAACCTATGATGGTAATTCGGGTTGACGCACTCATATTTTTATCAATTATTCGACAAACTATATTTAAAATAGAGCAATACACTATTCTAACGAACAATACAACTAAGTTATGTTGATCCATCGATAAAACGTCACCTGCGTGCTAACGAAGAAACTTGTTTATAACGAACGTACATTTTTGTCAGGTACGCGTAACTTACAAGTGAAACTTCATAATTTCGTTCCAATCAAACTGTGCTTCGGAATTGATTTTCGTCAAACCTCATAGCTCCACAACGCCTTTATCTACCATTTCCATATAAATCTAAAGCTTAATAACTTTTCAATCGAATCTCGCAGTTCAATTTTCACATAACTCCAAATTTAAGACCTAACTTCGAAAATTATTCCGATTAAATGAATAATAGGCTTGAATACTTATCAGGCATTGCACTTCGCACTTGATTCGGCTTCTAAGGGCGTCCGTATCGTGTCCGGGCGAAATTCGTTTTTCCTCTCTTCTTTCTTTCCATTGCACGAACGAGCCCTTCTCTCTTCTCTTCTCTTCTTTCTTTTTTTTTTTCCTGTTTAATCCGCCGCTTGCTGTCTCTTCTTTCCTTTTTAAGCTTCAATTGCGTTGAAGCCGTTGAAGGAGAAAGAAGTAAATGAGTTGGGCTTGGGCTCTAAGAGGCATGGGCTGGGCTGGGCCCATCTCTATTACAAGCCATAATTCATCTAGGTCCGACTGGGTCAACCGATTTCGGAAAGACAAATTCTAATAATTTTAAGTTTTTGACTCAGTCATATTATCATATTATCTTAGAAATAAATTTTTATGGATGTCGATCTACGTATTTCTACCATGCATACCCAGGAAACGTTCTATTTTTCCAGTGGGTGATCAATTATTTTATTTTATTATGGCTTCCTTGTCTATTAGCCAAGCTCATCCTCACATTGTTCCACAACAAAAGTCAACGGAAGTCAACAAAAGTCGTGGTGACACGTGTCTTTCATACAGTGTGTCGTGTTCCACCCGTTGTAGCTCGTCGTGCCACAACGTAAACGTTACTGCCAATCAAGAGGTCAACACGCTTCATTTCCCCAAACAAAAATCCAAAGATTTCCATTTCCCTTCTTGTTTCATCAATGGGAAATCAAGACAAACTGGGCACTTCGGTGAAACGTGAAAACACCCGATCCCATTACAACCACGAAAGAATTCCTGTGCTCTTGCGAAACACGTCCACATCAATTCGGCTCAACTTCCCTCTCTTCCATCTTTGACTGTAATTATGGAGTACCTGTTTCCAGATGGAAATTTCCCGAAAATTTTGGTCACATGTGATGTCTTTATAGACCCGATCGTGGATTTAGCGATATGTTACCCCTTCTGATTAGGCCCAAGCCCATTCATCGATCATCTCTGCTCTCTTTATACCGTAATTCTAGATAGGGGGCACAAAAAGCTCCATTGCCATATGTAGATTGGTGGGCAGGTGGGATTGGGTGTGAGTAGTTGATGCCGGTTCAGGACACAAGCTTTGCGAAATCACTTTGCTTGCTAGTTTAAGTTCAATCCCGCTGTAGTAGTTAGTCCTCAAGAAGTTTCCCAAGTTTAGAGCATTTCACCCAGTCACTGATTAGGCCTAGCCTCCTAATAAGTCCAACAAAGACTTCCCCATTTTCCATGTCTTCACCAACTGGTTTTCATCTTCCAAACCCATCTTCCACTTCAGCGATTCATCATCGCTCACAACCCATCTCTCTTGAGCCTGCCTATCTGTTTGCTTGAAACAACAACAAGAACAACCCCACTCCATCCAACTGATCAGGAAATCCGTCTTCCACCAGAATGAATACACGTCTTCTTCTTCAGTTATGTGCCATGTTCTTCGTCTTGATGATCAATTCGACTCAATCGCAGGGCAATGATGACTTGTACTCGAATTGCAGCAACCTGTTCAGCTGCGGCAACATCCAAGGCGTCGGCTACCCTTTTTGGGGTGGGAACCGATCCAACAGTTGCGGATACCCGGCGCTACAACTTGCTTGCGAGGATAACACTGCCAGTATCATGATATCCAACGTCACATACAAGGTTCTCAATGTCTACCCCGACACTGAGGTCCTACAAATCGCTCGGGAAGATTTCTCCACCGGAATCTGCTCCCCTGAATTCACTAACACCACTCTCGACCCTGCGCTCTTCAGCATGGTCAACGGCTACATCAACTCCACATTCATCTACGGTTGTCCGACTCTGCCGGGACCAGATCTTCCAAGCCACTTCTCCTGCACCATAAGTGGTACTGCTAATACAGACGGTTATGTGTTTCCCGGGGCTGTAGGGCCAGGAGGTTGCTTCAAGAGCGTGGTGGTCCCCGTCTCTCGGACTCAATTGTCCCAGTTGGGGAATAGCTCGGCGAGCTTGGAGAAGATATTGCAGCAAGGATTTGAGGTCAGTTTAGTAGTGGATTCTGCGGCGTGTAAAGGGTGTGCTAATTCGAAAGGTGTCTGCGGTTATGACATCTCGAAGAATACAGTGGCCTGTTATTGCGCGGATGGATCATCGGGGTCGGCAACATGTGCGCCGTCTGCCGCCGGAGATTCACAAGGTATGCTTTTCTGCAATTTAATTTCTAATTATTTGCTTTACTTATTCAATCTAATTTGGACTTGTCTTCTATCATAATTTATGTGGGCATCGTTAATTTCTTCGTAAATCGTAGGCTAACAAGAATGTAAGGCAATGAAAAATTCCCTGGTTTTTTTTTATCGGTGAAAAATCCTCTGGTTAGCTCAACAAATATCTGGCTGAACGTCACCTTCCATGGTGACTAGAATGAAAATTGCACCAGTATTCCTCCAAATAATGTCCCTTGCAAGTATGTTAAACCATTAAAAAAAATTTAAGTATGTTAAACCGTGACTATAGCAGAGTTGTTGGTACTATGACTTTTCCCATCACCAAACCACTTTGCACTCGGTCCAAATAGAAGCCACTGAATCATTCTTTGTGGGGGAATGAATCGGAGCTGTTACGATTTCAGGGGAGGATTATTTGCTCTTCTACCTAGTATCTGTACTTTTTTAAATGCTTCTCGGGGAAAAATATGTAGGGCGAGATTTTCGGTAATGCATCTCAGAGTTACTTTAAGGCAAGGCAGCTCTTGCACCTTCTATACTCTTCCTCTTTTGTAGAGGGGCAATGAGTACGTCGTGTAACATGATCCCCCACTTTCTCAGAGCATGTTAATCTGCTCACTGAGACGGGATTGAATGTTGTTATTTTCCTAATCGATGGATCTGCTTAGGGCTTCTTTCCTGAGCTGACAATTTTCTATGGCACAAGCACAAAGGTAACTTTTGGTGCTTTCAGTACCATCTTTGGCCATTTACCTTCATATGGCCTAGTTAAAAGTGCCAAGACTGATATCAGCATCAGTGAAAAGAACCCTGTCTTGACTTTCATCAAGAAGATAATTGAATGTTCTACCAGTGATCCAATATGATCTGGCGGTGGAAAAAAAGTAAGCAAGCTTAACTAATCAAACTTTCTGGATGGCCGATGCTTCGCAAAGTCCAAAAGGAGCTTTCACTGGACTGAATACCACCAAGCACCAATAGCTTCAAAGCCTGTCCATTCCCGCTCCGCTAAATTTCTCATGCAGAAGTCCTTCAGTTTGAACAATATGAATTAAGTCATTCCAGAGAAGCCACTCCGGGAATGTACTGGTTGGTTCTCAGCATATAGCACAGCTAAGCAAGTCTTGTGAAAGTCTCACTGTTGTGCAGAAAATAAAGGCACTTTAGATCATCGACCTCCTACCTTTATTTAAACTCTGAAGGACTTGCATATGTTTATGCACCAAAGCCCCACTTCGCACGCATAAATTAACTATTCAGTGCATTATATAACTTTATCCACTGATATTCCTTTTCAGCTTTCTGACCCTATGTAGTGGCAGGATATGTAGAGAAAGCATCATCTAGCCCCATCCGTCAATAGATTACTTGCTCATAACCAGTGTCAGGTTTGCATCAAGAGTTTCAACCCATCATTTGTTCCATGAATGATGCCAACCATAATGTTGCTTACTGTTAAAGTGAATTCCACATCTTGTTGCTAGTAAGCAAATTACTTGGACACCCTTGAGTTTTGGCAAAATTACCCCGACACTCCCCCTACTTCGAAAAACCAGCCAGACCCTTCCTGTCATATTCAAAACTTCAATGCAACTGTTGATGTGCAAATGGCCGAGGCGGTCATCACGCGGTGATTATGTTGTGGCCACATCAGCCCTCACAAGCAAATAGCCAAAGATTGCGAGGTAGCTCCTAAGAATCTAGATCACCGTGACATTAGCATCAATTCTACGTGTATTCGCTTCTGCTTTAGTATGGGGCCACAGCGAGAGCAAAAATCGATTTCATTAGAATTACCATCATTACTTGACTCTGCCAAAGGAGCTTAAAGTGGTATAGCTATGGCCAGCAGAAATAAAGAACATGCTGAAGTCGCATGCGCTTCTTTTAGGTTATGACGTTAGTGTGAAGGTACTAAGGCAGGGCGTTGATATATTCAGTCTGAAAAATGCAATGCTAGCCTTGCTAGGCCTTGGAGTTGTCAATATTTTGCCATGTAGGGGCCGATGCAGATAGCATCCTGACCATCTGAAATCTGTGAAACTGTCGATGATCATTCTCGTATCTTTGGTAAGTCCCGGAATAGCCAACAATACTTACGGGCCCATCAGCGACTCTTTTTTCTTGTTCTTCGTCAATCCATCTTTTGCAAATCAATGGCCTTGACAGTGTCGCTTGTGTTCCTGGTTTGTACCCATTCCCTGAATCCACCAACCTATCTAGTGGGCAATCCTATCTATCTGCTCTTCCAATGGTAGTCGCTCAATTAGTTTATTTAGCACTTGCCAAAGATGATCTATACCGAACCTCATGAGTTCTTTCATTAGTGACTGTCAACTCCCTCTAATATATACTATGAGCCACATATGTCGCACAATCTCCCCCACAGATCTACTTTTCTGCCCTGCCATGAGACCAAGGATCAGCCCTGAGCCGACCCTTCTGATAAATTTGAAAAGGCAACATATGTGCCTATTTCCTACTTCCTATGATCATTTGATAAATTATGACAAATAGACTCAGAGAAAAGTAGAGCCTCCTTTATTTGACTTTTCTTGTCACCGGTGGGGATCAATGTATTTATCACCATACATGTAGTCTAGAAACCGAAGCACAAGCTTTTCTAAGCTGGAGACCTATGCGCAACGCAAAGAAAACTCCATTTGCATTCAATTCCCGACGTGTGAAAAAAGCTCAGGCCAGAGTCAGAGACGAAGACAATCTTAGATTCCGTGCGTTGGACGCTTGGAAATTGGACGAACAAATCACCTCCATTCGACCGAGTCAGGGTCAGGCATCTTCACATTTGACCGGCAATGCGATATCCTTTTCCCGACAGAAGCTTCTATTCGGTCAATTTCTACCTCCTCTTCTTTGTCAAAACTCTCCACTAGTTTTATAATCGTGATCTATGACTATTCACGCATGAAAACCGTGTCATTTCATCTTCCTCATCCCCCCCTTTTCACTTGCCCATCCCCAACCTTATTTCTCTCTCCTTTCCTCTGCATCTCACCGAAAAAAAGTTCCTCCAAAAGATGATGATGCATCCCCATCGCCATCCCCTTTGGGATCTGTCCCTGTGCTTCGTCATCGCAACCACCCTGATCCTGATCCGAGCTTCGACGGCGCGCGGTGCGGACGACCCGAGCTACTTTAACTGCAGCTCCACCATCCAATGCGGCGACCTGCAAAACGTCGGTTACCCCTTCTGGGGGTTGAACCGCCCCTCCTACTGTGGCCTGCCCAATTTCGAGCTGACTTGTCAGGACGACAACACTACGTTGCTCAACATATCGAGCCAGACCTATCGGGTCCTTCGGTTCCATGACACCTCACAGACTATGACCGTTGCCCGAAATGATTATTGGAATACTATCTGCCCAGCCTTTTTTATCAATACCACCCAGGAAATCACCAGCTCTTTCAATTACACCTCGGACACCGTGGCCAGCAACCTGACTCTGTACTATGGGTGTCAGATAGGGTCAATGACTCCCAACCAGTTCAACTGCACCATCAATGACACAAACGTCATCAGTTACTTCATAACAACCACGACCATTACTAGTTTGTTTGGAGGGTGCAATACGAGCGTGGTGCTGCCTGCGAACCAGTCAGCCATTCAGGCGATAGAGTTGAACCCGACCAACACGACTGTAGTGTCAGCCATCGATGAGGGCTTCGGGCTGCAGTGGACGGTGGCCGAACAATGCAGCGGCTGCCTCATTTCAGGCGGGCAGTGTGGACGGGATAATAGTTCTGGTGATTTCACATGCTATTGCCAAGATAAGTCCACCTCTTCCACATGCTCAGGTATGTCAGTTATTGTCCTAGACCTTACTTCGAACATTCCTATGATGATTTGGTCCTAACTGATGGCTCGGGCTGGGATAAAAAAACTCCTAATGACTTGATAAGTATAGCTGATCCCAATTTGAATTAAAGTGAAGAACATGAAAATCATAGATAACATCTAATCGCTTTCGCTATTGATTATTCTTAGGATGTTAGGATGAGCCAATTCGTTCTGGTGATTAGTATGTTGTTGTGCCTATGAAGTTGGGGAAATGTCCATGTCTCCTAAAAATTCTTTGCTCTGTGCTCACCCCAACCAAACCATTCGAACTAATCATTGCCCAATACTCAATTTACTAGATCAAATCCAACAGTATCTGAAGAATTATCTGATGATTATGGAACTCCCAATCTCGCAGTGTTACGCATGCCGGCCGATGGATGATTCCGGCGCGTATCGCTACTCCCTCCTCCAATTAGTGTTTGTTAAACCCTTCTCTTCCTTCTTTGTTCTGTCCCTTGATGCTGACTTTTTCCAAGGCTTCAAGGGTCGCTCTGTCGGCAGTCAAAAATGGCCTGCGGGCTACCGACTAAATTGTTATTATATATTATTATTCTAAGTCGTTTTTAATGATACGGAAAGATTGGTCAACAAAAGCCACCCACAAAAATAATTTAGTGAGACTTTTCTTCATAATTCCTTCGCAAGTTGTGGGAAGGATATGCAACTTGGAAAAACTAAAAAGCAGTCGTTTGAAAATTGCTATGAGCTGGAGTGGAGATGCACCAATTCATTTCATGTTATACATAATAATAAAAATAATAACAATAATAACAATAATAATAGGATCTTGTTAATAAATGTTTCGTGTCACTCTTTGACTATACTTTAAAAGGAAATTTCAAATGCATTGATTTCACATAATACTAGAAATACAGTGCATAACAAATGACGATCTTTTTTTAATCGAGTACTTAGCATAATCCACAATAATAAAATAGTCATGTACGAATCCCAAATTCATGAACTTAGGATATGGGATGCTTTGGCTGATGTTGAAAGGTTAGCACTCAAGATGATGATATTTTACCCACTTCAGTTAGGCTAGAAGTCTTCTTTTCTAATCTATGCATAGAGTGCACCACATTCTGTCCAGTTAGAAAGATCCATGTGGCAAAAGCCGACCATTAGATGATAAAATTCAAGGATAAGCTTCAGTAGGAAACTATTTTGGCTTTGCTTGGAACTTGCGTGTATAGTCAGCAGCCACTCACCTAATCTTTTGTTTGCTTGTTCTTCTTCATCTTGGGTAATGACGTATTAGCTTGAGGGTGATTATAATAGGAGTCCTTTGGATCATTCCACTAGTAATCCTATCAATCGTTACGGAGTTGGAATTCAACTCTTCTACAGACAACTTCACCGGTTTGGTCAGTCTCGAGAACAAACTATTACATTCCTTAGGTCCTCGTGCCCCTTAATCACATCTAAACAGTTGAATCGGTCGGCCCTGATGTTAAAACTGGCTGATTGCACCATCTTGAACGTGTGACGTTCATTTGTGAGAGAGCCTGGGAACAGATCCCCAATTTCCTCCTCACCTGTGCAACTTTAAGGTCAGTTGCCGGTTTACCATGTGTACACTCCTATATCCATGTTGGTGAAACCTAGGAATTGTGTTTGTTGGCTCATGTAGCAGCAAACAGAAGAAGGGTAAGAAAAGCACCCTCTGCAGGCTTTTTTTTTTGGTCGATACCCTCTGCAGGCTTAGACGGGGGTGTTTTGCCATAACAACACGAGCGAAGTTCGTCTTTCCTAAAGGGGCTGGGCAGCTTTTGGCCCAGGCCCATAACTTGACCATTAAAGCCAGTGGGCCTTAAGCCTCAATCTGCGGGCAACGAATTTGCACGAACTTTTTGGGTGTCTCTGTCCTTTCTTGAGCTGTTTGCAGAGTCATTTCTCATGCAAATCTACATCGTGTTACGTAGCTCAAAATTGTTTTTATGTGCCCCCAACGAACAAAGGATATTGCTCCTATGTGCCGATCGAGATAGAACAGAACAAGAAAGCAAACCATAAAGTTTTCCTTAGACAGCACAGGCCCTCCATTACATTCCGCAGCAAACTTTCACCGGCCGTTTCTTCCGTCCATTGAATGTTCCGCTCCTGTGGTTCAACTGCTCCGGTTCTATTTTAAACAAGTCATCGCTGTCCGATTCAATTGCTGTCACAGTCTCTATTTGCTTTCGTCCTCATCTACTCCCTACCCATTGACCCAAAATTTCTTCCCTCAGATTTAAGTCATCGAATACGACACCTTGCCCGTAAAGTAACATTAGATTCCCAATCATTCATGAAGAAAGAAGGCGACCCACGTTGGAACAGTCTGTCGCCCCCCCCAGACAGCCCCGAGCCTCCATTTCAGAAAAGGCATTTAAAAGGGCAGAAAACTTTAGTTTGATAAATCCACGAAACAAAGAGGAGTCAACGAAAGCCAGCTCCTCCTACTCTCTACTCTGTCTTTAACCTGGGTCAACAGTCAAACATGGAAAGAAAGAGCAAATTTTGTTGCCCAAGGAACATGCCCGCCTGGACTTCGTCATCATCATCATGTATTAGCTCTCAGCTAGCTGAAGCTACTCTTTCTCCCTCTGCTCTCTCACGCCCCCCCTTCTCGCTCTCCGCCGCGGCCCGCCAATGCACCGCCACCTCCTCCCCCTCCTCCTCACGGCGGCGACCACCCTTTCCCTCCTTCTCCTCCTCCTCCCCTGCCCGGCGGCGGCGTCGTCCCCCTCCTCCGACGGCTCGCTCTCCGGCTGCAACCGAACCTTCAGCTGCGGCCCCCTGGTAAACGTCTCCTACCCCTTCACCGGCGGCGACCGCCCCGACCACTGCGGCCCGCCGGAGTTCCGCCTCGGCTGCGTCGGCGGCTCCCCCGAGCTCGCCGCCGGCTCCCTCACTTACCGCGTCCTCGCGCTCAACCAGACTCTCCGATCGCTCACTCTCTCAAGAACCGATCTTAACAACAACACCTGCTTGCAGCAATACGCCAACACCACTCTCAACTCCACCGTCTTCCCCTTCGCTAGTGACGACGAAGACCTCACCTTGTTTTATGGGTGTTCGACGGTGATGACCGTCAAGCCCCGGAATCTGTTCAGTTGCGAGATCAATGGGACCGAGACGGACAACTATTACTTGTTGGGTGCTGTCCCCACTGATCCGATTCTTAATGTGAGCAAGTGTAATGTGAGTGTCACGGTCCGAATTCTGCAGTCCGCGGTAAACATGCTCACCGCAAACCGGTCGAAGCTCAGGGAGGCTCTGATGGAGGGTTTTGAGGTGAATTACACGAATCCGTACGAGGATGAGTGTGTGCGCTGTGGTGGGATTGGTGGGGAGTGTGGGTTTGACTCTGATCCGGGGAAGCCCATTTGTATATGTGATGACCGAATTTGTTCCACATCCACTGCAGGTACTGCAATTGGTCACTTTCTGTCTGTTCAATTGCTGATCTGAACTCAGTATATTTTCTGGATCGTGTGTGCTAGTTTCCCCCTTGCACCTTGTACTTTAGTCACGGAATAGCCCCATAACAGAGAAGCTTTTTTGAAAAAGCTCGAGCTAAGAACAGATAACTCCCTCTGTATAGGTAGATGGAAAGAGGATGTGGCATTCCAATCCAACCGAAGGGGGAGAGGAAGTTACTTGAAATAGATTAGTATTACTCTATGGATAGTTTTTAGATGATTTCCTATATGGAAAAGACTAATCATGTCTTGAACATGATTGTGCAAATGTGGATATTCACCTCACTGACAGGGATCTGCAATGGCTGGGAAATCTTTATGGTATAGTTCTGCAAAATCGTTGACTCTTTGGAGATACAGAACCTATCTTTGTGGTCTTGTCTCCCAAATCGTCAATACTTCCCGCCCGCTTTGGTAATATATTTTTGTGCCACTTCTTCCATTCCAAACAATCAGGGTCTGTTGCTACTTTGCAATTATTATCTTATTGGTAATGGGGTAATGCATGTGCATGATTACCATGGGAAAAAACCGATTCGATTGGCATTGGAGCACTGGTTACGAGAAGAGCAAGCATAAGTACTACACCCGCTAACAGTTCTGCTTTAGTGATCCCCACAACACTATGTACTTAGCGTATTTAAAGTACGAGTCTGACGGATGAACTGGGATGCTCTTTTTCTTTACCGGTTTTTCTATGGTTTTTGTTAGTGAATAGTCTCATCCACTCCCTAGGAATGAGGTATAGTATGAACTGGGTGGTCCTATTTGGAGGATGTATCTGCGTATTAAATTCCTGATCTCAGCATGTTCCAGTTTTTTTCTTCCGTTGTTAAGAGAATTATGCATATATTGACAGTTCTTGATTTAATGCTGCAGGGGGCAAAAGTCAAATATCACTTGGAGCAGGTAAGACATATGCTTTTGTGTGACTGGGCAAGTTATCCTAGTGTTACCAGCAAACCAATAATTGAGGTGTTTCCTTAATCTCTTGCAGCCCTTGGATTGGCAGGAGCTGGCCTGACAGGACTCCTGGTGGGATTCGGGATTTTCTCCTGTAGACAGAAGAGGAATAGAAAGCGAGCCGCTGCAGAAGCTCAAAACAAGAGCATTACCCCACCTCCTTCAAGCAAAGGGCTTCCCATTTCATCGACTAGTTTCTCTAGAACCACCCCCTCTTATCCAACTTCCAAATCTGACCTTGACAGGGGAAGCACCTATTTCGGAGTTCAGGTCTTCAGTTACAATGAACTTGAAGAGGCAACTCAAAGTTTCGATCCTTCCAGAGAACTTGGAGAGGGTGGCTTTGGAACTGTTTATTATGGTAAGACGAACCTTATTAACTTTTCCTTATTGACCATCGAAGTAAAGAAGTAAAACGCAATCTTCTAAGATATGCAATGTGCAGGACCAATCGTTGCAAAAAATATGCATAATTCTTCTCCTCCTTCCCATCATCTATGTCTACATATATAATTTCACTACCTTTTGAATTTTGATTGGCCTGATTAATTAGAATAAAATGAGATCATCAATCCTTTTCTTGAAGGTTATGTCTTGTGCCATGTTATCTAAGTGTTTGGCCATTGCTTCAATAGGTCGGCTCCAGGATGGACGTGAAGTCGCAGTTAAACGCCTGTATGAAAACAACTTGAAAAGAGTGGAGCAGTTCATGAATGAAGTTGAAATCCTGACTCGTTTGCGGCACCCGAACCTTGTGACGCTCTTTGGATGCACCTCCAGACGAAGCCGAGAGCTCCTATTGGTCTATGAGTACATTCCAAACGGCACCGTGGCTGATCATCTTTTCGGAAAAAGATCTGGCACGAGTCCAATCCCCTGGCGCATCCGGTTGAATATGGCCATAGAAAGTGCAGATGCTCTCGCTTACCTTCATAAGTCAGATGTCATACACCGCGATGTGAAGACAAACAATATCCTCCTAGACCACAGTTTCCGAGTCAAAGTGGCAGATTTTGGTCTGTCGCGATTGTTCCCCAACGATGTCACCCACGTGTCAACAGCCCCTCAGGGAACTCCAGGCTATGTGGACCCCGAGTACTATCAATGCTACCAGCTCACGGACAAGAGCGACGTGTATAGCTTTGGTGTAGTTCTTTGCGAGCTTATCTCGTCAAAACCCGCGGTTGACACGAACAGGCACCGCCACGACATAAACTTGGCAAGTATGGCCATCAACAAGATCCAAAACCAGACATTGCACGAATTGGTCGACCCCGCTCTAGGGTACGACACGGACTACTCCGTTAAGAGGATGACTACGCTAGTCGCTGAGCTGGCCTTCCGATGCTTGCAGCAGGAGAGAGACATGAGGCCTACTATGGAAGAGGTGGTAAAGGCTTTGAAGGAAATTGAGCAAGAGGAGATCACTCTGCAGAATGCAGAGGTGGTGGATATTCGGACTGACGACACTGGGCTCGTGAGGAACATCACTCCACCATTTTCGCCGGAATCCGTGGTGACTGATAAATGGCACAGCGACTCAGCAATTCCTAGTTCCTTCTAGTTCAAGCCTCTCAGATACTCTTTGCTGTACTATTAGCTGAGTTTTGCTGTAGTTGCGGGGAAAGTAAATTGCACTCCTGATCCAGATGCATATGACTGTCCATTATCCTTTTTTAGTTTTCATAAATATGATATTTTGGTCCTCCTTGATGATCTAGCTGGGGGAGACGCAGAGCCAGAGGCACCAGCTGCTAAGGGCAGTGTACATATTAAGTGGAGACATCGAACGATTATTTATAGATGAATTTTGATGTTTTATTTCCATTTTTCCATGTGTGCATCTAGTTCTTCTCCTGCATTTATTGTCTCGAACTTGCAAAGTTGGGCTCAGATCCTTTTCGCGCTTCTTTTTCTTGTTCCTGTTATTGGGTACTATGAACAACTTTGGAGCTACCCAGGTGCAGCTCAGAGCAGACGTGGATATGGATACAGCTGATGCAATGCGTAAATCTAATTTGCTGTAGTTGCCTTTGTCAATGCTGAACTCCATTGCAGCTCAATTCCCCAGTTCTCCCCTTGCTCCGTCAGTCTTAGTCTGTCTTTCGTAAACTCTCCTGCCTCTAACAAAGTGCACTTACGTAATCAAAATCCATCTAACATGTAGCACATTCCTTAAATTTGCCTTATAACACCATCATTCTTTATATTCGATAATGTAACCCATACATATCTTCAAATGTCACAAAAAGGGTCAGTTTATTTCACGAAAAAATCGAATTTCAAAAACTATTTTTTTAAAAATAATAATTTGTATAGCTTACAAAACACTTTTCGAACATAGTTGCTGTCAAGGATGCTTAATCGCGCGCTGAAGCTAGATCGAGCAACCAGAGGGGAAGATCTGACGCCACTCGTGTTATTATGTTATGAAAATATATGTTCATTTTCGTAGAGGAATGGAGTAAAGAAGCAAGAAATTGTGCGGGCATTACTGGCAGCAAAGACATGGGAGTGAGGTCGAAGCTGCAAAGCGGATCCCGACCATTCTTCGATCTCGCACATCCTAATGATTAGGCTTCGACCCGACATTTCATTGTCGCCGAGCCTCAGTACGTGTGCCCATAAACCTCAAAAGAAGTGAAATTTCTTCTTCCGGGAGATGAAGATTAAAGACAAAGAAGAACGGAAGAATGAAAAGCGAAGAACGAAGGAGAGAATCCATGGCTTCTTCTCGATTCTCACCGGCTCTGAAGAGGAGCTTCTTCGGCCGTCAGTTTCAGTACTGAGTCCAATCAAACTTTTCTTCTGCGCCGTCCTTTATATAGGGCTAGGGCTGCAAACCTGACCCTTCGTCCGTCGCTGCGATCCTCGTAGATCCGACGGCTCAGACGCGACATCCAAATTGTTCGGTGGAAAAACATGTCGGCTTGTGTCCCTGCGATCCCAATGCATCTGCACCGTCGGATCTAATTTGTTTTATGTATTAATATACAAGAATTTAGAACTCCGATTGTTTCGTGATTTGAAAAACATATTTTTTAAAATGATCGATTGTATTGCTTACAAAAATGAATGTTCGAAAATATACTTTCATTATTTACAAAAATGTTTAGATATAAATCGTTGTATACAATGAAATTTTTTTTCATCAACTAATTATTTCAAGTGTTTTATTTCAAGTTCACTTTCCAGAATGTATCCCCTCGAAACTTAGATCCGTCGTCTTGATTTTAGAGCTATTAATAAATATAATTATAAGACTTATATAACTCGCTCTCTGTTTCTGTCTAGACAAATCATGTCTGGTATTGTCAACTCTAGTTTTGATATTCTCATCATGTTAAAAAGCTATTCCGCTCAGATTAAGCTGGCTTGATAATTCCATTGAAAAAATTGAATACTCCATAGTTAAAATTTTGGTAAGATTAACTAGTTTTTCAAGATTCATTTAAGTAATTTTCGTTTGATATATTTGATAAATAATGAATTACTTAATTTGTTGAAAATGATGAGATACTTACTGAAAATCACAGCGTTAACAAATCCATCTCCAGTAATAAACTAATCACATGTTTTTCTCGACATTCGGATTTTAAAAAGTCATTTCAATTTCTAAAAAAAATCATGAAAAGTATACGTATGCACAACTGCAGGCTAACATATGAGTTGCAAGATCTTGTAATAGTAAAACGTAAAAAGAAAAAGTCACTCCCTTAAGTTTGATTTAAAAAAGGTAAATGATACTGAAAAAAGCTAATCCATATACATCCTTTTTCCTTTTCATTTTCAGCAAATTAAGGCCGTCATTAGTCAACACCCCATTACCTTAATTTTAGGATATCGAAATTTTCTACTTTTCTTATAAAATAAAATAAAAACCCTTGTTAATATCAATGCATAATGATTGACCTATCAACTAGAAACATCCTCGGATGGAAATTAAAAAGCTTATTAATCCTTTCGTTCTATTATTTTTAGCCAGAAGTTTTCTTATTGACCATTCTGCTGTTTGGCCAAGACAAACTATATGTATCGATTGAGAGTAACCTCAAAGGGAGTCAGAAGCTTTTGCGAGGGCTTTTGCGGCTTGTCCTCTTCATCAAGTCGGGCTTCACAGGTATATTTTTTTATTTTAACATATCGGTGTCCGTATGCCTCGCACCCCTAATTCCTCCCATAATCTTTGTCTTCCCAAGAAATGAGGGAATACCCTCTTTTTGCTTTACATTCTATGGATCTCGAGGTCCGGACGAGACCAAAGATGAAGCAGTTTAAGGATTTAGGGTCCGTTTATTTCACGAAAAACATTTTCCGGCTTCGATTTACTTAGGAAAATGAGTAAAAAAAAAATTCCCTAGTCAACAAAAAATGTTTTCTTATCAAAACTTAAAGTTAGGAAAATGATTTCCTCTTTGAAAGAATCGAAAAATGTTTTCCGAAATATGATTAGCTATTGGCACTTGGACGCGAAACTCCATACTTAAGCTCGGACTCCCCAACGTTGGTTCCCGAGTCCCGACATTTAGGACCAAGTAGCCGGAGGCCGGGCTCGGGGACCTTGTGTCCCGAGCCTAGGCCCCGGTGCTCATACCTGGGTTCATCGAGGCCGGACCCAACCCTCGGTGCCCGTACCCGATGCTCGGTACACCGAACTCGGGTCCATAAAGGCCGTCCCCTAGTTCTCGACGCTCCACAAAGGCCGTGCGCAAGTCCTTAATTAGGTCCCGGTCTAAACAAACTATTAGGTCCCGGTCCAAACAAACTATTAAGCCAAGATCGAAAGATAAAAATTTTTATATAATTTGGATTTTTCAAAATTGTGAAAAGGAGAAACTGACATTTTGCAAGTAACTCTCACAAGTTACAGGTCAAAAGAAAAGGAGAAATTTTCAATTTGGGGTCAAAAGTGAGGTTTTCTTAAAACGGGTCCCGACCATCAGGCCCAGGTCCACAAAGGCCTTGCGCAGGTCCTTAATTAAGGTCCTGGCCTAAACAAACTATTAAGCCAAGATCGAAAGACAAAAAAAAATCTACATAATTTGGGTTTTTCAAAATTGTGAAAAGGAGAAACTGACATTTCGCAAGTAACTCTCACAAGTTACAGAGGTTAAAAGAAAAGAAAGGTGAGAAAATGGTTCCGAAGTCGCGAGAGCCCGCCACGTGCATGAAATATTCCCCTCTGAGAGGAAAGGACGGCCCATTAAAAAGATTCAGACAGCAAGGCGGCGTCCAAAGCCGTCCCGGCGACAGATATTCCCTTCTTCGGCCCTCGTCGTCTCCAAGCTCCGAACGAATCAGCATCCACGAAAGAGACCCGCAGAATCACCCTCCTCGCATTCATCGATACTCCCTCTCTTCGCCCGTGTTGCTCTGAGATATAGGGGCGGCGGACCGATGGAGAAGACGGCGACCCTCCGCGAGGTCATGGCGCTCGCGGCGACGGAGCCCGCTGGCCCTCGCCTCCGCCGCCGCCGCGGGACCCTGCGGTCGCTCCTCTTCCGGCGGTTCCGCCGCCGCGGCGGCGATCCGTCGGACCGTGCTCGCGACACGCTGCCGGCGAGCACCGGGGGCAAGTACAGGCTGGAGGACCTCTTCCTGCTGCATCCGCCGCTCGATGGTCCGGCGTCGGAGAGGATAGCCGAGGCTCGCAGGCATTCGTCGCTGGAGGCCGAGGCGGTCGGCGGCGGCTTGGCCGTGCGCCGGAGCGGGTCGAGAAGGCTCCCTCCTGTTGCCGGGTCGTTCCGGTGCCGGATGCTGAGGAGAGCGTGGCGACCGGTGCTGCTTACCATCCCGGAGTAGTAGGATTCAGAGCATTTGCGTCCGATAATTTTTGTTTTTATTTTTAGTTTCATTTTCGGGACTATTGGCAATTTGCCCCTCGAGTTCATTTTTTTCTTTTCAAATTTGACCCCTTAGGTACGAATTGTTTGGCTCTCAAGTCCAAAATTTCCCGATTTGGGAATCCCAAATGGAGATGTGCCCTCGCCAAATTTTTTTCTTTTTTTAAATTTGACCCTTTAAGTGCGAATTGTTTTCATAACGCCTTCTGTTTTTATAAAGAAATTTGGCTTTATATGTGATCAAAGCGGTATCTTGCTCCCTTTTGGTGTGCTTGTCCAATTTAGGAGCTAGAACATATTGGCGCTGAAAGGATTGCCATTGCTTTGTTTTTTTTTTTGGTTGCTTTTACCAGTGCTATTACCATGTGACTTTGCATAGCAGATTCTGTATACGGTATAACAAAAGCAACATCTATCTAAGTATCATATTCGATTTCCTAGTCTCAACAAATCTTCTCTGTTATACATCTATTCGCCAATCTCTGTAAATATACAAAGCTGATACAATGATACTTGATCTTAACTCACATTGATGAATCCGATTAGGGTCTTGTTAACTTGTTCTCTAGACGCTTGTAAAGAATACCTAATATGGAAAGTTTCGATTTTCACTATGCCGATTACATGAACATTATATGCAATGGAAATGTAATATTTCCTTTAATTAACTAATTAACAAGTTCTCACGAGGCACTAGTTAACAGATTACATTGTAATAACATCTTCAACACAAACCAAGCACCCTTCCAAATATGATATATGGTATCGACCTAGGCCATCCTGAAAATTAACAATTGCATAGTTGTACATTCTGAGATTTAGCCTAGTTGTAATCCTCTGCCCAACAGCCAATTTGTTTTGCTCGTGAAATTTGTTTGAAGTGATTACCTGTGAGCTTAGTCTCACTGATACTTAGGGAATTCGTGCTTAATTTATCATTTAATCGACAAAAAGATCTGGCAGAAGTTGAAAAGCATTCTCCAAGTCTAACCACATCAGCAAACCAGCAATTAACGTACCGGGAGATCTAATGTGTTTAACTTTTGCCACAACTTCAACATTTTTCGCAAGCCATAAGCACAAGTTAAACGAATAGGGATGAATCACAACGCTCCAATCTTTCAACAGGTTAATTTTAACCTTGCGGTATCTTAACTGGATAGTTTGGACTTGTCCTCAGCCTGCAGCAATCTTTTCTCATCCACGGCGTCGACTGCCCCTTCTGAGGTGGAAACCGATCCAACGGTTGCAGTTACCCCACACTAGGACTCACTTGTGAGAACAGAACTGCCAAAATCCCAATGTCCAACATCCAATACTTTCAGCCGGAATTTGCTCCCCCGACTTCACTAACAACACCCTCGATCCCGCTCTCTTCAGCACACACTTTCCGACAACATCAGTGCCACATTCGTTTATGGTTGTCCTTCTATGTCACCCAGGGTTCCCATCCAGTTCTCATGCACCACAATTGGTGTTGCTAATACAGACGTTTATGGAGTTTACAGGGTTGTGGGGCCAGGAAGTTGCTTCAGGAGAGTGGTGGTACCTGTTTTCGGACTCTATTGTCGCAGTTTGGGAATGGTTCGGCGAGTTTGGAGAAGATACTGCAGCAAGGAATCGAGGTCAGGTGGGAAGTGGACTCAGCAGCTTGAAGATGGCGTACTGAATTGAAAGGCTTTTGCGGTCACAAAAGCTCAGTGGATACGACAGTTGGTTATTGCACGGATGGATCCTAGAGGTCTGGTTCATGACTGTCATGAACTCTTGCTGGAGGGCCTCAAGGACAGCCTTGTTCAAAAGGTATGTTTTTATGCCAATTGGTTTTTAATTATTCCAATCACTTATTCATTCTATTTTAGACTCATATTGTATAATTCATGTTGCCATTTTTATTTTTCTGGGAACGAGTTCAAAGGCTAACAAGCTGTTTACACCAAAAAGTGAAAAAAAATCATGGAAATAGGCATAAGCATATAAGGAAATACCCAATTGTTAGCTCCAGAATTATCAGTGTAAATATCACTTTCCGAATTGACTGAAGTGAACATTGCACCTATAGTCCTTCCAATAATGTTCCTTAAAACTATCTCAAGCAACATTCGGTACAACAACTTTTCTCATAACCAACCATTTTGCACTCATTCTCTTTAAGAGGGTTGAGGTGAAGTTGTTATGACATGAGGGCTATCGAATTTACCTTCTACCTGATATCTCTATTCCTTTAGATGCTTCTCACTACACAGAGCGACATTTTTGGAAACACATCTAGAAGGTACTTCTAGGCAAGGCAGCCTTCGTCCCTTCTATTCTGTACTTTTCCTCCAGATGAGTTCATTGCGGATAACATGATCTCTCGCTTTCTCAGCTCATGTTAATCTGCCTACTGAGACAGTATTGAACATGTTACTAATTGCTTAAGTGATGAGTCCCCTTAGACCTTACCTGTATCAGTTCTGTTGCACAAGCACAAAGAGATTGTAATTATTTCCTGTACTATCTTTAGCCTTCTTTTCTCTTTTGCTAAGTTAAAAATGCCAAGACTGATAACATAATCAGCGAACGGGAATTTATCTTGAGTGTCATTGCTTGAATACTCTACCCATGATTCAATATGTTTAGAGTTGGAAAAGAGGAGCCGACTTTTAAGCAAGCTTGTTTAATCCACTTACTGGATGGCTGATACATCAAAATGCCAAAAAGGAGCTTCAATGGACCGAAAATCACCAAGCGCTAGCTTCCTAGCTTCTTCATTTCCGCTTTGACAGTACTTCTCATGTGTAAACTCTTCTTCACTTTGAGCTATATGAAATAAGTCATTCTGAACAGGCCAATTCTTGGAACATACTGGGTTGTTGCCAGCATATATCCAATACTATTGCCGTGACATCTTTACTTTGTCAAGGATCAAAAGAGCTAAAATTGCTATAGCTCTTGCCTTAGGCCATAACCTTGCAGTTGCATATTTTGCCATGTAGTGGCGATGATGTTAGCATCCTGTCCATCTGAGATCCATGAAACTTTTGATTATCATCCACGTATTTTTGAGTTCTGGAATGGCCAACGAAGATTAAAATGCATAGGTGCCTTTGGCTACTGTTTCTTTATTCTTCGTTGGTCCATCTTCAGCAATAATGTATTGGACTGGATATTTTTCCCGCTACCTGAATCCACCAGGCCATTACGACATAGTGTCCTATATCTGCTCTTTCAATGACATTCAATCAGGTGATTTAGCACTTGCGCTTGCTGAGATGATCCATACCAAACTCAGAAGCCCTTTAAATGGTAATCATCAACTGTCACCAAATTACCGAACTCAGTAGCCCTTTCGTTTGTCAAAAACCTGGCTAGACTCGAACTTGTAAGTAATTTGATAAAGAGAAACCAATGTCAGACCAAGTCACCCACATTCAAATTGACCGGCAGTGGCATCTAAGAATTATAAGACCGAGATTCTCTTTAAACAATTTCTCTCCCTTCTTTACCAAAATCCACCAACTTCTGTCATCAATCACTAGACAAGCTTGAAAGTATGTCACCTTTCCATCTCTTTCTTTTTACTGTGCCAAGTCCAAGCTACTTTTCTCTCCTTCCATTTTCATCTCCCAGAAAAGATCATCACTATTACCATCTCCTTTTGCATCTCTCCAGATGCTTCGTTATCATAATCCTGAACCCGATCCTAGCTCCAACATTGTACGGTGTCAACCTGCAAAACATCATTACCCCTACTGGGGGTTGAACCAGGCCTCGTACTGCGGCTTGCCCGAGTTTGAGCTGACTTGTCAGGACAACAAGACAGAGCAGATCACGATATCGAACTGAGCCTATCGGGTTCTTTGGGTAGGTAATACCTCCCAAACGATGATCGTTGTGAGAACGGACTATCGAAACACTACCTGCCCAACATATTTCTACATACCACCCAGAAATCATCAGCCCTTTCTCCTATACCATGGACACCGTGACCAGCAACCAAACTCTGTATTATGGCTGCCAGGCAAGCCCAACTGTAGCCTCGCTATTCGTTGACAGCCAGTTCAACAGTTCCATCAATTATGCCATGTGATGGGTTACTTTGTGACGAGGAAAGTTAGCGATATCACGAGTTATGAAATCACATGCGCTTTAAGGTTATGACCTCTGTTTGAAGGTACTAAGGCAGGGTGTTGATATATTCACTGTGCCGTGCTAGCCTTGCTAGACCTTGGAGTTGTCAGTGTTTTTCCGTGTAGGGGCCTGTAAGGATAGCATCTGGCCATGTGAAATGTAGGAAACTGTCCGATGGTCACTCTCGTATCTTGTCAAGTCCCGTAATAGCCAACAAAGGCGATAATACTCCCAAGCCCATCAGCGACTCTTTTTTTGTTCGTCAGTTTATCTCATACCCTAAATCCACCAATCCATCTAGTGTCATATGCTATTTGATGCGGCAGCATGTAATCGAACAATAAAATAAACAGAATAAAAAAATAAATTGAACACCGGATTTACGTGGTTCTATTGTAGTGGCTTACATCCACGGAGGGAGTATCAACGAATTTCACTATTGATCAAGCGATATAACGGAGGTTACAATCACACTCGAGTTACTCAAACATTCTCAGTATTTCCCAGCCTCCAATTACACCTAATAACTTACACCGTGTTTAGCCCTACAATTCCTCACGGAATAATATTTCAATTTCATGAAGGAATTAAGCAATTTTACCACAAGATTTTAATAGGCTATTACACATATGCCTTGACGAGAAGACATGCGGCACCGGGATGAATATCTCAAGAATTTTAATCCAAACAAATAGACATGCCGTCACTAATACATTCTGCTTCACCCCCACATCCAAGACAAAATAAGTATTTATATATATGGGGCATGGAGCCAAATCACCATGACTCCTAAATGCAAACGCTGAAGACCGACTCCAACTCGTAGAAGGAAACTCACGTACCTTGCTTTGCTCGTTATGTGAAGTCCGGAATATTTTGTATCAACTATCAAGATCAGTAACAGCTTTCCTGTAAGTCCTCACGCACGGAGTCAACGCCAAGTATAAATCTTGTTTTTCTTCCCCGACTCCAATAGCCCATAAATACTGTGTGCCCCTTTTCTTCTTATTTAATTTCACGATCAAGAAGCACTTCACCTTCACATGTCTAATTATTTTAATTACTTCAATTCGGGTTGGGCTTATTCGACGGGCTTAAACTCGAGACATATTACGGGCTCTTCCAATAGCAGTTGCTCAATTTTGTGATTTAGCACGTGCCAAAGATGACCACCCGCCTGAGTGGCGCTGCTGGAAAGGGCATTCTTCCTCTCGCAAAAGGTTGGGTGTTCGAATCCCGGGCGTCGCAGGGTGACTTAACCGGTGCACGTGTGTGGTGGCTAGCACGTGTCGCCCCCAGGGTTTACCTCCCGGCTGTCGGCCGTGCGGGGGTTCCCTGGGTTATCAAAAAAAAAAAGAAAAAAAAAAGATGATTTATGTATCAAACTCTGGATGGTGATATATATATTTGGTCGGATCTCTCGCTAGTATATAACGAGCCACATATGTCACAATCTCCCCCACAGAAATACTTTCCTGCCCTGCCACGAGACCAGGGATCAGCTTTTTAAAAGGGGCACCACAGGTTCCTACTTCCTACTTGCCAAGCATGGCCTTATATAGGCACCAACGAACTAATTATTGGTGGATAAATTATACATTATAAGTTCCTAAAACTCTTTATGATAATAGACTAATGTCGCGATCTAAAATTTCTCAGGCTAATGAATTATTATAACTAAGCCTAACTCGGGCCCTCCCAAGCCCTACCAATTCGCAACTTAGGCTATAAGTTTTTAACATGCAAAAGTTTTCATACTTGGAGTCGTCACTAATCTATTTGTGGTAGATCGATTAGAAACCTAAATAAAACATAGGGATATATGTTTTATTCCTACGAACCAGAGATTCTAAGCTCGGGGACTTGGTTACGCTAGGTCTAGTCTATCGCCCTTTCGGTACCTTTTCTTTTCAAAAAATGTTTTGGCAGACAGTTTGGATTCATTTTAACTTAGTCACTAGCATGTGAGGTGATCATGCGGGTGCGCAAACCACCAAAGTAACACCCAATAATCAAAGCATTAAATAAATTGCAAGATTGGGAGAATTACTTACCTCGAAGCAACGTAAGCATCTGCATTGTTAGCTAGAAAATCACATCAACAATCTTAATATGATTTCTAATTAACAAGCAGTTCACTCAATATTTTTTAGGATTTTCGCTTATTTAAATGAAAGCTAACCTATATGTAATGACGTGCAAAAATTAACATGCGATTAATGCAGCCTAACATGCAAACTATATGTCATGCGACGACGTGACCTAATTCTAATGACAGACAAATGATTTATTTTTGGTATTTTCAAATGAAATTCGGAATTAAAAATTACTCAAATTAACATGCAATCTATCCTAGAGAAAATGATTTGATCTATCCTAAAGTGATTCTTTTTTTGGGATTTTTATTAAAATTCGAAATTATTAAATATCCTAAATAATCCATTAAAACAATCTCTAATTTAAACTAGGAAATATGCTACCCTAAATCCCAATTTAAATCAAATAATTATCTTATTCTTTTGGATATATTTAAGATTCCCTAAGCATGCAAAATTTCTAATTTAAATCCTAACTAACATATTTTTGGATTTTCTTTATTTAAAAAGAAAGCAATCAAGCAAAGATAACTACATTCAAACAATCCATGCAATCCGCAAGATTCTTCAAATTCAGATAAGGCAAAAAAATCAAACTAACAGTCGTATCTATAGGGTTATAGATATCGATGGAAAGCTGATTGTTCGAGTTTGGAAAGCGAATAAAATCTATTATCGTATCCAAGTGATTATGGATAAGATAACGATTTTCCGTATCGCCGCGCATCGTACCTTAGAGATAAGGTCGGATAGTCGTCCAGATACGTTGCTAAATTAGGAAAAATTCCTAATTTTGAGTGTTTTAGAATATTGCGGATGGAGCAAACAATATCCCTAAGATTTAGCAATCCACCAAATATTCACAGAATATTCAAACATCCGAAAATTAAGAAACCAAATATTCTGAAAATATTAGATAACATCCTTACCTAATTTCGAGATATTTCCAAATTTGGACTCGCAGATCGGGATTGCGGATCGGGACGAGCGGCGGTGGGACGGACCAGCAACGGTGTCGCAGTGGTGTTCGCGGCTCAGGCTGCTTCGCGGTGGTGATGATGCTAAGCAATGGCGGTGGGTGGCTCGTCTAGCCGCGACGAGGCTCGCGACACGGGCTTGTCGCGGCGATGCTCGCTGAAGAGTGGTTCAGTGCGGCAAACTCGCAGTGAGATAACAAGGCAGCAACTGGCTGGTCAGCCTGCGACTCTTTGAAGAACTCGAACAACTTGGGAGACGGGAAGATGTATGATCGTGGTCTGTTTCAGAGAACAAGACCCAATGTATTTTCTTTTTATTATTCCACCCACACGTTGGAATTCTCTATTCACCAATCAAGCTCTCTTTTACTTTGACCATGCAACCCACCGCTTTGGCTCACGATTTTCTCTTGCACCTCTCTCGGCTGGATGCCTTTTCTTTGACCACCTAATGACTCTTAAGGCTAAGCTGGATTGGACCTCCTGGGAGCGGCTCAAAACGGTGAAGCTTTGCGGGGGCCATTGGACTGAATTGCAGCGGCAAGGAGGCTGGCGTTGCTCCGAGTCTGCCACGAGAGGCTGCTGCGTTTGTGATCGAAGCTTGCTGGTCGCAACAAGAACACTCAGAGAAACTTGTTATTCGTGGACTGGAATGCTGGTTGCTCGTAGTGCCAGGGAAGCAGCAGATCGGTGGTGCAGCTTTGTCACCTAGGGCGCAGGCAGAGAGCAGCGGGTGACGGGCAACAGCATCGGCGGGAGCTACAGCAGCGGTACGGTTGAGCAGCAACTCAAGTCGGGCGGAAGCGGCAGCGGCAGGAAGCGCGGACACAGCGGAGAGGCGACGCCGACGTGGCGGTTGTGCACGTGCGCAACCGACTATCTCTCTCGACCTCAAGTGTGTCTCTCGTGCTCTCTCTGAAAATTCTCGGAGCCCCCTTGATTATGACGCATAACAACATATTTATATCGCAACCTAGGTCAATTAACCGGGCTTCCTAGTCCTAATGGGCTTAGACTTATGCTTTATCATTTAATTTAATTTTAATTTCAAATGGGCTAAATTAATTTGGGCTGACTTAAACTCAAATTAAAACAACCAAAGCCTTTTAGACTTGTGAATTTTGGCCCCCAATCCCTTGAGTGAACCGAGTGCTCGAGCTCGGTTTACGCGATGAATTTTCAGCTTTCTCGCCACCGCCGGTCCGATGCGGAATGCAACTAACCTATATGAACTTAAACTATATGCTATGCAATTTTAATATTTTTGTTTATGGGTTAAAATTTAATCCCTAATTTTCTATGTAAATTATTATTAAATGGTCGATCGAAATTTAGGTGTCAACTGCTAAGAAAAAGAGGAGCTCGCTATTTCACCAGTTGTTATCATGTATTCATCACAATATATGTAGACTAGATTAGACAACGAAGCACAAGCTTTCCAAAGTTGGTGATCTACGTGCAACACGAAGAAACTCCAGCTTTGATTGTTTAGCGAAAAGTGAATGAATTTAAAAATATTATTTTTAAAATAAATTACTTGTATCGTTCATAAAAATAAATGAACGAAATATATTTTCATCGTTTACGAAACTCCATATTTTGTTTTTATCTAGTGAGTCAATCTCATCTTTCATGGCTTTCTCCTACTGTTTGACATCCTATGTACTTCTTACTTCCTTGATCGTACTTGGATTATCACCTGTAACAGTCAAAGCACAATTTTCATTAACGACAAACAAGGAATACCTTTTAGGTGGTCTTTTTATCGGTGTGGACATTCTTAAGACCGATTCAGGTGGCGCTTCAACTTCAAACTTTCAGATTCTACTATGTCATCCACCTCGTCAGGCTCATCAGCTTCAGAATCTAAATTTTCTATTCTAGCTTGTGTAACTTCT